GATGAGTTTCAGGTGAAACTCAGCCTTATAAGCACTGCCTCCACATGGACAAACAGGTTAGTCACATGCAAAAGAGGGCCATCGCCTAAGAATAGGCTTGATTGGTGATGGGTCACATGACCCTCTATGAACAATAGAGCTAATCAAGCCTATTGTTAGACGATGGCCCTCTTTTGCATGTGACTAACCTGTTTGTCCATGTGGAGGCAGTGCTTATAAGGCTGAGTTCACCTGAAACATCAGACTGAAGAAGTCTCTTGGAGGAGAGACGAAACCTTTCACTAAAGAAGAACCCATGCAGAGGACCTACTGATTTTTTCTTTTTGATATTTTTCTACCTGGATTACTGAGATGCATCAGGACATTTGCAGTGTGTGATTGGTCAGAACTTCATGGACAAGTTTGCCCTTCAGCATGTCGTTTTGCTGAAACTGTTCTGCACCCAGAAGCCGGTGGTTAAATTAGCAAGGTGGACAGCTTTGAGGGGTACCTCATTTGATCCTATTGAGCAGGCAAATGTGCCACTGATGTCCATGTCCTCGTTCCACGTATGACTGTTTATCCAGCAACACAAGCCTCCCTTCCAATGAATGATGCATCGTTGAGTGAAAACAACTATCCTGCTATCCCTGTTGGTTATCTACTTAGCAATGCATGACGTCTGCTATATTTGTAGTGCTGTGGGAGGGATTATGATCATTTCTCCCCCACGTCTTCTACTTGACTATAAACACTTGATGAGTCAAAGAAATCCAAAATGATTTAATCACAGATCCATTGTTTCATGTCTTGATAGAGTATAAATCAGCCTTAAGGTGCCCAGGTCCTGAGGCTGCAAAATGAGCCTAAATCATCAACCCTCCACTGCTTGACACTTGGTTTGAGTTGTTTGTGTTGGTTTGCTGTGTTTAGTTTTCTTCGAACATGTCTCTGTGCATTATGGGTGAACATCGATCTCATCTGTCCAAAGGTTCCAGAAGTCTTTTAAGACTTTGCAAACCTAACCCTAGTCTCGCTGCAACATTGTTTTTAGAGGAGTGTTTCACCTCTGGCTTTAGTTTTGCTATGCAAATATTGACTTTATGGAGCCTATTGTGTGTTTTCTACACTTGCARTTAGATTTAGATCCGTTTAGAACTTGGGATTTTGAGTTGCAAAGGTCTTCTGTACGTCTAAAGCTTTGTTGGTGTGGACCCCAGGAAGAATAGTCTCTACTATGTTGAAGACTATTGAATAAATAGATAAAGACCAGGGGTCGGATTTATAAAACTGGCGTACGCACAATTTGAGCCCAGAAACTTGCGTACGCCACTTTTTACGCCAAGGTTGTGATTTATAAAATCCAAACTTGACGTGAAAATGTGCGGTGCCTCACGCCAGCTTTGACCCATGCGTACGCTCATTTTGGAGACGAGAAACTGGAAACTGCGACACTGATGGTGAAGTGAGGAATTAGAGCCACACTCAGGGCCGGATTAACACTTCGCTGTACCC